GTCGCCAACCAAACGGCCCACTGACAGTACCAGGGGGTGGACACTCTTATGGGGATTTTTGTGATAGTTTTTTAACTCTCTAGTTGGTGAATGATACACTTGGAGAGTTTGTGAGCATTCGTCTCCACTTGTGGGCAATCTTCGGGGGCTCGAGCATGTGACATTTTTACTGTTGAGTGTCCCTTCTCTATAGTACACTCCATTTCTCTGGACAGTACACAGGTGGACCTCGCATCAGTTATTACACTTTTAGGCAACGTTAATTAGTTACACAGGGACTGAATGTGAGTTTTTAGTCTATTATTTCTAATTTTTCGTATTTAGGTATTTAATTTGTATTTTGTAGACCATTTATCATGGCACCGAAAAGAAAATGCTTTTGTAATCAAACATTACAAGAATTTCCATTTATTAAAAAAGGAATAACGGATAGTGATGTCAAATGCAACAAATGTTTAACCAGCTTTAATATTGCAAATAGTGGCAGATCAGCAATTACACAACATATTCAGACAGCAAAACACGAATAAGTGGACACCCCGGCTTCAAACAAATCATTAAACTCATTTTTCGTTAATAAAAATTCCGACGACAACCTAAAGGCTTTAGCACTAAAAGAGGCATCTTGGTGGTATCACTCAATACATAACTATTCATTTCGATCAAACGACTGCTCTTCTAAATTAATTAAGAAATGTTTTGAGGAAAAATATTCTTGTGCAAGAACGAAAGCGGAAGCAATCATTTGTAATGTTTTGGCACCATATTCGTTTGAATCAATTAAAACTGACTTAAGCAAAACAAATTATATAACTATTTATTCGGATTGTTCGAAACATGGTAATACTAAATTGTGCACAATTCTGGTCAGATATTTTTTTTACCCAATTGCGGTGTCAGAGTAAAAGTTTTGAATATAAATAATATTTCTGGATAAACTTCAGATATATTAACAAATTGTATCAAGGAATCACTGTCAAAATTTGAAATCTGTATACATATAAAAATGAATGTATGGCTGTCTGTCCTTCATGCATTACTACACCATTTATCCGATTGCCATGAAACTTTAGGAAGTTGTTTAATACACTCCCGCGAAGGTTTCTGGCATAGTACATTTATCCTACGATAGGTGGCGCGCGTGTATATGAGCATTTCATATATAAAGTTGACATGAAGAGTGCATGAGCATAAGTTTCCTTTATTCGAACTCTTTGTCTTAATGTTTGAATTTATATTTATGAATGATTATGAAAGATCTAGCTTATTTTTTGAATTTAGTAAACTTTGAAGAACACAGAGTTACAAAAAAAAACGTTTATTCAACACTTAGTGGTAGTATGCACTGGTTAGTGGTTGCAGTGAGTCTTTTAATTATCGTTACCCAGGTGTGGTAAGGAGATATCTAAAAATTTTCTACTTAGTCTCAGAAGAGAGGGACAGTCTTGCGCTCGATAAAACGGGAAAGATCGGCTATAATCTTAATCTTCGCTATCAATACTTTTTCCCGAGCAATGCCGGGCTCATCTGCTAGTTACTAATAAATTACTTGCTTTGTATGCTGACAATACCAACAGCAATTTTGGTGGTTCTCAGAGAAAAAGTAAAGAATGTTTTATTTAAAATGCAACAATCAAGTAAACATAAATTGATAGGAGTTAATTGTGCTGCCCACATATTGAACAATTGCATAAGCACTACTGTAGATTGTCTTCCGATAGATATTGAAGTGATATTAGTAAAAATTTATTCATATTTCTATATTTATACAATACGAGTAGAAGATTTCAAAGAATTTTGTGATGACGCAGAGGTTCAATACAAAAAGATTTTTGGTTACAGCAAAACACGCTGGCTAACTATTTTACCAGTTTTAGATAGAATTTTACAACTATTTAATCCATTAAAATCATACTTTTTGAATCTGAAAAAATGTCCCACAATTCTGAAAAACTTTTTCAATTAAACATTAGCAGAGTAATGGTTGTTATTTATTTATAACCAAGCCTCAATATTTCACCAGTATATAGTGAAAGTTGAATCACAAGAAATCTCAATGTGCAAAACATCCATACTTCTAAAGGAATTAAAGCTAAAGTTAGTTGAAAGAAAAAATGAGGGGTTTCTTCCCTATTGTTATTAGAAAAGTGGTTTTAGCATTAGAAAAATCAGAAAATATACAAGACAAAAAATTTAATGATGCTGTGTATACATTTTATCAAACGTGCATAGATTATCTAAATAATTGGGACATGTTTTTTTATTGAAATACAGGTGTTTGAATGGTTCACATTATGCGAAATCCCTTTGTGGGCGAAAGTAGAGAAAAGCTATATCTTTATTTCGAATCATTGGTTCGTAAATATACTCGACGGTGAATTATTTGATGAAGTTTCATGTGTAAAAAAAAATTGTCACAAACGAAAAGATCGACGAATGGTGACAGAATAACCAGCCCTGCCATCAAAGGTGGGTTGAGATTTTTGAACATTTTACAGCAAAAGAAATTGTTTCAAAAACATTTGTAAAATCGTAGAATTTTCTTTGTCTCCCTGGGTCTAATGCCCCGTTGAACGAATATTTTCATTGGTGAATAATATGTGGACAAATGAAAAAACCCATTTAAAAGTAAGCACATTAGAAGCATGTATTTCCGTCAAATATAACTTTCAAATGAACTGTATGAAATTTTATGACTAAAGCGCTATAAAAAAATTAATTGTACTGAAAAGTATCAAAATTAATGTTGTTTAAATTTTTACAATGTGTGTGTGTGTGTAATAATTCAGATTGTTTAAAATTTTAATATATGCATTGTTGTATGCTACTATTTTCGTAATAAATGTCATAAACTTACGAATTTTATAAGGTATTTTTTGATTTTCTTCGATATGTCCTTTATTTTCCCCAAAAAATATGGTCACTGTACCAATAATAGTATGCTATCAAAATTTCACATTATAGATTTGGCGATTTTGGCACTCGCACTTAAAAAGGTTGCCCACCTTTGACCTTTTTTAGAAAGGCGCTGCCATATTTAGTCCTTTTTTGATTACCACACTAATCTGTTTTCCTTTTCTTTTTTTATTTTACATTTTTTAAGTTTGTAGCATGCTAAAATTTAATATTGTTGCATTTATTAAGTATTAACTAGACTAAATATGGTATTTAAACGGTTGTAAGGAATACAATACGCTATTTATCAGTTAAGATTAATTTTTTCGTATTAACCTGTCTTTCACAGATTTTTCCGAAGTTTATGCATTCTGCTATATAAAAAACATTAAAACAATTGCATTCATCTGCAAACAAATATTTATCGCAGAACACACACATATTACTGAAAAAGTAATGTACAAACAATAGAACATTTTCTTTTCTTACAAAATATCAAGTAGAATTGAATTGCATATAAGTATTTTTTGAAATTGTACAAAATCTTTACATTGACAGTCGAAAAAATGTTTTTAAATTCGACATTTCGAATTGTACGCACAAATTTATTTTATTGAATTTGAATTTCATTTCTGATTGTTTTCCACTAGTGAATGGGTAGAATTGCATTTACGAATCTTACATTACTGATCCAAAACTTTTATTTTAAGTTACTTTTACATTGCCCTAAAGGTGGATTCACACTAGAGCCGTTTGAGCCGTCAACTCACAGCCGTCAGTCAAAATCATCCAACCATGGCTCAAAAGACGTAAATCTTGACCAAGGAGATACACTATCACATATAACGCCTTTCTTTTTCCTCTTACATTTTGTAAAAACTTTTGCTTTCCATTTAAAATTCTTTCTTTTCCCTTAATACACGTTAGTTATTAGATGATTTCACGTGTCAAGCTAAGTAAATAAAAGGAAAGGTAACGTTACTGTTACAGATCATAAAAGAACGGCTCTCGTTGGAAATAACGGATCGAAAAATCTTTAGAGGGAAGTGCAGAAAGAAAACGATACCTTACAAAAATTTTTATTGCGTGAGATATCCGGCTTTACTCAGAAACCCCCCTCCACAAAGGAAATGTAGTTGCGCCCTAAACAAATCTAAATCCGGTCCTCCTCATTGGTTGTAACGATCTTACATGTAACTTCAACGATTTACCTATTTCTTCGAGACTACTGTCGTTCCGTCGAAAAGTTTGACTAGCTATTTGCACTGCCTTATGTCATAGTTGTGATGAAGCTTTCGGCCTGACTAATACTTACACTTATTAATAAATTTGCTATTAAATCACTTTATTTAATTCATAATATAATTATCATACTATTTTGCTGATACTTCCTTTAAGTTCTGAGCTACTCCAGTGCGCCCTGAGCCCCATCATCAATCTAGTGTCCCCAGATATGGCATCAAAGTTAAATTTCGATATTCTTACTACAGTAATAAATTTATAAAAGTTTGTTTTGGCGTCCCCAGACAATTGCTCTTTTTGCCCTAGAATAACATGCCACTTCTCGTTAGTAAGTATTAACGTACCATACTTTTTAACTGACGTACTTTATACGCTCTTATGTTTCCAGCCTAAAAACGCTATCTTAGTGTTCACGGGGCAGAATAGTCAAAAATAAAGGAAAAAATTTGTGAATCAGACCTGTTCGCAATGGGCACAATTGTGGCATGGCATATAACCTTATTATCTCGCATTCACTAATGCGTTGATAAATATTATTTGCAGAGGGCAAGTGATGAAATCTAAAATTACGTTTCTGTTTATTAAATAAATTTATAATACTGAAAAAATTCTATTGCAATATATTCGACGAAATTCTCCTAAATTTATTCTTAGAGAAGAATAGAACATATCCATGCAAACAATTTTTCAAATGATCGATGAAAATGGTTTTCAAAAATATAAATCATCATAAATTTTTCAATGAAATTTAACATCGAAGATTGAATTAATATATGAGATTTATCCTTTAGATTTTATTTAATTTCATTGATAAATCATATAAAACTGTACTTCATGTAGCAATAGTTAACAATACTCGTACAAACGTCTCTCGTTAACAATAGTTTGTTTATTGCTTTATAATTATCGATAACATCAGCCATAACCAGCGCGTTTACTTCCTACAATGGGATTGAAATCGTGGTGGATCGAGTTAAAAACTATTTTAAGAGAGAAAACCGAGTAAGTGTACTCGAGATAAAAATTTAAAAATTCTTTAGCCATAATGTCAAACTATTATTTCAGAATCAACATAAAATTATGGCTAGCCGCCGTATCAACGATTACTCGTAAATCTTTCATACCAAATCATTGGCTCATCTTCAAACGAGATGAAAAAAGTAAAAAGAAAAATTCGATTGTGGGTAAAACGAAAAAATCGCTGGGTATAAAAAATATTTGGATGAAAAAGAATGTTGAAGAAGCTAGCGGTGACCATTATAAATTTTTTATGGAAAAATACGGTAGCAAGGATACACGTGATGATTGTGATGCAGATTTGGAAGACTATCGGTTTCAAATGATGTTGGCTACCGGCAGATTGAATTTGGATTCCTTCACAGATATGAATGAACTCGCTGCTCCAGAAACACATTCATCTCGTGAAATGCTCGTGAAATCAAAGGGGACCACTCCTAAATTTTTGGAATGGACAACAAAATAACAGGCGATAAATGATAGAATTTTAGAAATTTTTAATTTAATCATAAATAAAATTAAAATATCTTACTGTACTGTACATAATATCCACTGTTTCAAGATTTTAGTCGATAGTCATTTATTTAATTTTTTTCAAAAATTGATAAATAAATTGTGTGGTTTTTTAAATGCTTTTGATACTGTTCTGTGATTACAAGAGGCCTTTTCCATGGCCAAGCCACACAATAGGGGGTGATTGGGTGGTAAGGGACAGAGTTCGACGTATTAAAACGTTGGCTCCGTCCAGCTGCCGCATTTTTTCATGAACGGTTTGCTTCCGGACAGGGCCCGCCAGTGGCCAAGTAGTTCCGTTCCCTGAATACTAGGAGTTCGGTCGTGGGTTCGTGCCTCGCCAGGACGAGTTGGCCACGTGGAGTTTTCCGTGTTTTCTCCACGTCTGTAACGCCTGAATAGGGTTCGGTTACCCTTAAATAGACCTCTCGGAAGGCGTTCCCCTAGGCAGATTCGTCCAAGTGTTGCGTTTCCGTAACTTAACTAAACAAACAGCTTCCGAACAGACGTTCATGAAAAATTTCTGAGGTTGCTCACTCGGATTAGATCTTGGGTCCGTAAGTTACTGATATCTTAACCATGTCGGCCACCCGGCCGTCATCAAAATACCACTACAAGAAATTGTCGTTAATTATAACTCGAATAGTTCGAAATACCATTACTTCGTAACTGTACTTTTGTCCTGGCCTGGTGTATAAGACGTTATTAGGACGTATATTACACGTTAAGGAATTCGGTTAGTTCGAAATTCTAACTTGTAAGTGAAAATTCTGTCCGGACTGCGATATGAATACGCTAACGCGTTCGTTTAGATTTAGATCAGTAGTTCCCAACGGGGTCGGTACCGCCCACCGGTGGGCGTTGAGGAGATCTAAGGAGGCTTTTTTTTATCCAAGGTAAATTTAGGGACGTTGAGGACCAACCGCCGCCCTTCTGGGCACTCGTAAGAATGCGCTGAAAATTTTGATTAATACTAAAAATCATCGAAAGCATGTTTTAACAAATAGTTGTCTTTTAAAACGATTATACTGTATTAATTTAATTTAAATGTTTCTATTGTTTTTAATGGGGCAGTTAAAATAAAGTAATAAAACGTTATAGAAAACTTTCTACTGGGTATAAAATCATGAAATTTGCTGAGATCATAGAAAACGTTAAATAAAAACTAAGCAAGATCAATCCGTATTAAAAGTAGGTATTGGTACATTATTCCTAATACCGTTTCACTAGTATGGGAAATACGTACAAAATGACATAGGCAACATAATTCGAATTTGGCAGTCTCAAGCACGCAACTGACCACGACACCACGTTATCCGAGCGGCTTTTACTAACCTGTCAAAACGTGAACGCAGTCCTCTCATTCGCCCAGTGTCATGGCCGACGACAAGAAATGATACGAGTTTTTTCCTTGCAACAAGTTTTTTGTATAGATGGTAAGTTTATCACTATTTTATCTATTTGTGTAGCATTTATTTCAACTCTCAAGAATTTGTTGTTGCACTTAAATAACTTTTTCCTTTAAAAATAACATATTTGTATTTATTTTATAATTTTGTTTTTTTTAACGTTATATGGACAAAACGACATACATAGGCAACGGACATAATGACACACCTGTCATTTAGGTCCATAAGAGCTTAGTCAAGGAACTTACCTTAATCCTCTCCCTCTCCCCCGTGGAGGGAATTTCGAAAAATCCCTTCTCAGTGTGCATTCTCGTGACGTACCCCGTGATTTCAACTCCTAACCATTTGGGTTAACGTAACTATTTATATAAAGATAAAATTCTTTAATCGATATTTTCTTATATTTTAATACATGTTTAATACCCCTATATATAAGGTTAGAATAAAAACTCAAACCGGGTAATCTATGTTGTCCAATAGTGGACTTTCACAATACTGTTTTGTTTAACTTGGAGCATTTTTACTTTCTCAGTTGCCATATATCACAAGAAAAGTATGGGAATTGATCAGAAAATGACTCTCGCGAATAATTTTACGTTTTTGGACTTATAATGTTGAGAAATGAAAATAGAAAATTGCGGGGAGGGTAATTTCTGTACATATGGATATTTTATGTGAATGAGGGGCACAATTTTGTTCACCCTTTTTGAAGGTACTTTTTGTTAAAAATTTCTCAAATTTTTCAGAGAGGTTTGTTTATAAGAGAATTGACGTTAAATTTTGGTAATTAAAGGTCGATGGGATGGGGAGATAAAGGGGGTCGTGTGTATTTCCAGTAGAGTCGGATTTAATGACGATTTTACTCTTTATTAGCATTTACAGTTTATTAGAAAACCTATCTCTATTCTCAACAGTAAGTTTTTTGCCATTTTATAATAGTTAAAAATATAAAGTTTGTTAAACAAAATATCGCAACAGATGGTGCCACCAGATGTTACCGGAAAAGTTAAGAAACTCATTGGATTTTTTTTAAATTAAAAATATAGCACATTATCATCTGATGCAAGTACAGTCAAACCTCGGTTTGTGAACTCAATCCATTCCTAAAAGTCGTTTGAAAATTGATTTCTTCTAAAACCGAAACATATTTTCCCATAAGAAACAATATAAAATGGATTAATCTATTCTCAACTCTAGACTGCCTGCATGAAATATAACCAAATGAAACAAGATGAACAAGTACTGTACTGTACTTCATCCACGCTCCGTAATATTGTTTTATTTGATTTTAATTAATTTTATTTTTAGTTTTGGTGTAAAACCCAGAATTTAATTATTTTTAGTTTTAATTAACTACCTATTACTGTATTAATAAATTTGTGTTACAGTATTTAACTTTACTTAAGCATATTTAAACACATCCATAAAATATAAATGACATCCAAGAATGTGTTCTCTAACTGATTTTTTGAAGACTAGTTTTCTTTACAGGTTCATGAATCTACTTTGCCAAATGAGTCTACCTCTTGCGAACGTTTGCTTCATAAAATATAGAAAAATTTGTAAATAACTGTTATTAGTCAAAAAATTAGAAATGGATACTAAAGGAAAATCTATTTGAGGTATTGGATCACTACTTTAAAAGGATATTCCTCTGAATACAGTATCGTGTCCCTTGCTACTGATGATGCTCTGCAGGTCGATTTCATATTTGAAAAAGGCGGTACCAAATTGAATTTAGCTTCAGCATTTGATATGGTTGACAGGTATTAAGGAGGAATTGCCATTCTTTTCAGACAAGGGTCTGAGACAGACATGCATTTTGAACCCTTCTTTTTAATTTTAATGATTTATTGAATTGTATTAATGATTCCGAGGTAAAACGTATTGATGTCGATGGTGTCAATGTGAAGATATTAACATGTACAGATGATGTAATTGTGGCTGATACTGAGGTCATTGCAGGCATTGACTTTTCGGATAAATACCTTGTATTTAATGGACAAGTCCACAATTAAATTTTACAAAATTAAATGTTTTTTCGAAATGGTGGTAAGGGCTCCAAGTTTGATAAATGGTGGTTTAGAGATGACCCAATTTTGGTTGTTTCATAAGTATTTGAGCATGACTTAAAAGCATTGGTAATCTTAATACTCATACAAGTACTTGTAGATAAAGTTGGAAAAAGTTATACCAATGTGGAAGTCTGCAAAACTGCATAATTTCACAATCAGTTAAAATTATTTCATAGTTGTAGGTTCCTCTATTCTCTACGCCTACATAGTATGGGGATCTCAGGTGGAGATTTTGGATGTAATATTACCTACTTTTGTTAAGAGGTTGTATGGGCTTCCAAGATGTACTGGATATTTAATGTATGGAGTGTTTGATGGTTCCATTGTATTGCATGATCTTGAACAAATGTATTTATTGGGTTTTTAGAACAAAGCTTGGGAGAAGAGTACCTTAGCAAGATTTGTCTGTGGTTCAGTTTTGAAATGGGTACAGTTGCCTTGGATTAAGTATTTGTCTATTAACCATAGGAATGGGATTTTGAAAATTTATTTAAAAATGCAAATGAAGTTTGTTTATTAAAGTTAAATTATTTTGATAATTATATCTTGCTGAATAATGACATGTTATCAAGCACCTATTGCTATTGAATAAATCTTTTTTTTTGACTACTTTATTTATAACAACAGTCTTTCTTGTAATGTTATGGCAGTATTAATGCAAGTTAGGTGAACTCATTTCAGTCTTTTTATGTAATTACAGAAGGGTCATATCATGAAGATAATATAAATCAATAAGAAACTGTTGACTTACCAAATTAATATCTTAGATCCACATTAGATACAAATTTGTTAAATTATGTAATTTTATGGACGTCACTGTGGATATACTGTACCTTGTTTAGTGAACAACAAGTGAACTATTTTCATATATCATCCATGAGATGCAGTAAATTTTACATGGGGAAAAAAGTAAATGCAAATGGTATTGAATGTGAACTTATGCAGTCATTCAGGTATAAGTACCTGAATGATCTGTACCAGACATGAAATTCATTAGACTAATCACTCAAGAGAAATTACTGAAATCATCAATGTGGATTAAAACTAAAAAAAAGCAGACCAAATTTAAATACACAAAAGTCTTTCAGAGGGACATTTTTAATAATGTTCTGTACATATTTTCAGAACTTTTTGTTAAAAGAAAAATCCTAAAATCTTTCCTCCCAGATGTTTTCTTCTGGCTTCTTCATGGTCCATTATACCACCTGAAGTTGTTAATACCAAATAACTGAAATAAGAAAGTTTATAAAAATAATGTATAGTTTTGCCATGAAGTAGACTGACTAAAATTGTGATACAGTAGAGTGTCGTTTATCCGAAAGAATTCCAGTCGGCCTAAAGTATAATTTTTTATTTGTTTTTATATTTTTCAATGTATTTATTTTGTTTGTAAAACATAAAGAAATCATTTTTACCGATACAATAGCCACGATTATTATTTTAAAAAGTTTACATTAGGCTTAACATCGACGAAAATTCAATGCAAAGTGACACGCAACGGAGAAAAATTTCAACACGGGATAGGTTAATATATTTTTTCGTACACAATCGGTTATCCGAACAACCCCAGTTCCCAATTGATTTGGATAAACGACGCTCTACTGTAATATAAATCTAATTAGGAACAAAATGCATGAAAGGAAAATTCACTAATAATGGATGGATTTTGACATTGACCAAAGGATATGACCAAATCTGCTTATTGTTGAATATGCATAAAACAAAGCAGAATGTTTATATCCATATTTTAAATAAATTTAAAAATCATTTTTAAACAATAAGAGATTCTCACCCAAATTGTCGAGAAGGCAGCAAACTCCTCATCCATCTCTCCAAGTCTCTCAACTGCACATCAAATCTGGGACTGATTACACCACATTTGTTTAATCTACCTGTCAGATTTACTACAATTTTTCCGGCTCTGTGATCATCTACTATTTCAAATTCACCAATATAACCTAAGAAAAACAATTGACTTGTGATTAATTTCAAATTTTAAGAATAAAAATCTGTAATTAGTCAAAAGCATATTGCACAAATTTCAAAAATTATTGTGAATAATCATTGCTTTACAAAAAATTAAGAATTACTTAATTCATTAAATAAAACCAAATATTTGCCAAAGGCCAAACTTTGGCTTATTGTGGACAGTACCCAAAACTCAGATTAGTAATAAGTACATTATATTGTTTATAACCCTAGTTTTTTCTTTATGCCTGTGTCAGGACTTCAACAACTATATTAATATAAATTCAGTTCTTAAACCTCTTATTCATCAGCATTTTAAATCAAGACTTTTGTACTCCTGAGATTTTCAGATAACTCTAGATTAAGGGTGCGACTATGCAGACACGAGAGAGCGAATTTTCTGAGCGAGCGAGAATATGTGGCGAGAAGCGATAAATATCAAAACCTGTCAGATATGTGCGAGAACCAGAAATTCGCTCTCGCCAGCATTATTTCTCGCTTCGCGTTTGTGCATGGTTTTCCTTTGCGAAAACTAAATCGCTCGCAACCTCTCGCTCGCTCTAAATTCGCGTCTGCATAGTCGCACCCTAAGAATTACTTTACTTTTTGTATTCACAAACTTCATGTAACATTGCTTCAGTTTGATGATTTCAAAATCCAAAGAGTTGTTACAAGCTATCCAATTTGCCTGAGTACATCACAACAGTCTACATAAATTGTCACATGTAAATCAAACACACTATTTTAAAGTTTCCAACAATAAATGAAATCATGCTAACTTTAAGATAGAAGTATTATTAGAATTAATGTAAACTATATCTCATCATTTGTCTGTGTAACAGTTTCTTTGGTAACTGTTGCATAGAAATAATTTGAACTCATAGTATAGTTTTGAACTAACAGGATTTCAAATTATTTGTTCCAGCTAGGGATATAGAAATTTACATTTTAAGGAATTTGGTTAGTACAAAATACAGCTACTTTGAAATTCAAAGTGAAAATTCTGTCCAAACTGTGATATGAATATTTTAACTTGTCTGTTTAGATCAAAGTGCTCCATATTAAGAGAACAATAAACCAAGAACAAGTCTTATCTGGTCAATATGGCTTTGCTTTTACAGTAACATATTTTTGGTTGTCACCTTACCCATGGACTACCCTTTTTTTCTCTTATAAAATATGGCTGGGTTTTGGGATTGCAAGATTGGGTCACAAGTAGCAGATTAAGATTTGTAGGGCTCTAAGCTACTACATTTGGGTGACTTATACCTTTTGGGCACATTTCGAAAAAGCAAATACAGTGGAATCTCTATATTCGTAATATTCGATATTCACCACATTTTGATGACTTCTTTATTTTTTCATATTTGTCAGTATTTTCTGTATTCATCGTCATTCCCAACACCAGAAGTGGCACTACAATCACATGCAATCAGCTAGCCGTTAGCTAGCTGTAGTTAATCAGTCTGCTTTGTGTGGTTGTCATGTGCTGATGAGTTATTGAAAAATAATCAATGCAAGAAACCAAGTTCTAATCACTCCAAAGTGGCACCCAAGTGTTGCTATAGTCAACCAAAATACAAATACATTCAATGATAATGTAATTGCCTACTTCAGAAAAGTTTTAAAAAGCAGACAAAAACACACAACACTGGACAAGTTCTTTATTAAATCGAGTGCTACTGAATCAACAGCAAAACAGACCCATGATCATAATTGGAATTGCCTAATGTTTTAATTGATGTCTTCTTCTAAACAATAATACATATTAATATACTATATTAAAAATACTGTTCTTCCCCTTCTACCACTATACTGTATTTATTTAGTATGATAAAGATAAGTTTTACAAACATAATTTTTATTCTTGTACCTGTTAACATACAACTCCCTTGAATATGGAGAAGGAACTGTAATTGAAAACAAACATTCCTATAGACTGTATTCAGCAATAAATATCTCAACTGATGGCACAGCTGAGGAACTTACTAACTCTTCCAATTTCTAACTTTCTGTTGTTGCTTCCTCACAAATCTCAAGAAAAATATAAAAGATAAAATACAATATAAAAGACAAATCCAGATAATTCTTTCAAAAATGTTAAAAAAACAAAAGTTAGCAGAACCATCTTCTAATTATTCCACACAAAAAATAAGCACTAACGAACTAGCATATCACTTGCAAAATAATGTAGCTGAAACTTCATTCTGTATTAATAACATATTAGAAGAAAATATAAAATTAAAATAATCTAGTTACATTTAACAGTGGGTCTATAAAAACAAGCAATTACTTATTGTGACATTGTCATAATGCCAGGCTCAATTTTTAATCATGTTTTAAATTTAAAATATATGCTCTTCACCTCAAATTAGTACTGTAGTATCTAGCCCCTGTATATAATACTTTTCCATTACCAATGGAATCATGCTGATCATTTATCAAACTCATTTCAGAGGAAAAATTTTGAACTGAAATAATGTGACTTCCAGTTTACTTCAGAAGTTTGTATAATCAGGGGTCTCCTGCCCAAGTTTTCCATACCTCATCTCAACTTTCATCTAACACTATTCTCAAGATTAAGGAAGAACAGACAATGACAGTGGAAATTTATAGGTCTACAAATTTTTTAAAATTGCAGCCCAAAAATGTTTAATGTTAGAGCAAAATATTACATTTATCATCATCAAAATCTCTTTTATCATTTTATATTGGATTACCAAACTAAAGTTTTTAATACAACTGGAATAATTACAGGTAAATTTAAACTAAGTAAAAGAGGTCAGTTTATGCTGACCTTAACAAAATTGAAACAGCTATTTGTTAATAAAATTTCAGATTTGGTAATAAAATTTCAGATTTGGAATCAGTGAACCTAGTTGGTAAGGATATTTCAGGACTGGCTTAATTGTAGTTGCAGCATTTAATTGTATGGTTACAGAGGAATAGTTTAAAAAATTTGCCAAACATTTTCAAAGACCCAATGTTTAAAAATATTAGATGCATCATTGACTAATTAAACCCTTCCAAACTTCTATATGCTTTAAAGCTTCCTTTGTATAGGTAAACATAGTTTGCATAAGATAAATCAAAATCAATGTGTGGTCCAATTTTTAACTGTTTTTAAAAATGTTATTTCTAATAAATATTAGAAATAACATTTTTACATCAAAAATAACATTTTTAAAAAGTTAAAAATTGGACTACACATAGATTTTGATATACAGTAGAGCCTCGATTATCCGACCGTCCTAGTCGGCAAATTTCAAATGTCCACTAGTGATGCGACGCTACAATATTTGGCTATGTCTTGGCTACTTTAATATTATTTTTATGTGTTTTAGCTGGCAACACTCATTCGACCATGAAAGGGAGCCAGTATTTAAACGAGGCTTAATTTTCTAATTTTTAATGATACAATAGCGACGATTATTATTTTAAAAAATTTTTGTTAGGCTTAACATCGATGAAAATTAAATGCGAAGTAGGTTAATAGCGATATACTAATATACTAATTACATGGGATATAATAATGTACTACATTAATAATGGATTTTTTCATACTTTTCAGTTATCCGACCAACCCCAGTCCCCAATTGAGTCGGATAATCGAGGCTCTACTGTACTTGAATTTATCTAATAGATCTGAAAATTCTAAATCTTCATATTTGGTTTTCTTGACTCTTAAATTTTCTTCAATATCCAATAAATTAATTTCCAGGCATCATTCACTTGTGTATTATTTAGTAACAACCAACCAGAAACATGAAACAGAAGTTCAAGCAAGTCTTTCATATAGAACTTGCACATGTTTTTGTTTATCCAACAATACAGTCTACAGTGAAAAAGTAAATGGAACAAATGTTTTAATATGTCAAGTACATAATACTAGTTTCTATAAATGCTTTCTAACTTGAAAATATATTTGAGAGAGATTTGCTTCTTTATTTTCAGTAAGCACATTACACTTAAAAACAATAGATAACTGTTTTGTGCATTAAGAACCATTAATGATGGAAGTATAAGTGTATTAATATTAATAAATATACATCAGATTTACAAAACACTCTTAACAAATTCAAATTCAAATCATTATCTTCAGAATTAAGAACAAAATGTAACAACAAAAATAAGAACATTGCATGCAGAAACATTAAATTGACAGAATAGTATAGAGGCAACGTAGAATAAATCAGTAACTGAGTAAAATATGTACTGTACAATAATATAGAGTATTTAAGGTGAAATACCAAGCTGGATTTAAGTTCTTGCATGTAATGTCTAGTGTGCAGCAAAATTTTCAGGACTGGCTTAATGCAAGAACTTCAATCCAGTTTCCTGCATTGTACAAAACTTTGCATTACGTTATACTTCAAAATATGATTTTGCAATGAATTATTATATAATTATTATGCAGATTAATAATCTCATACCAATAGTTGAAAAACAAAAAGGTAGGTTTATTATTGGGGTTAGATCAGATTATATGGAAAGAATCCCAATAGTATAGTTTTAGTATTTAGCACTGTTTTTATGATGATTGCATTATCCAAATCAAGTTCATAGCCAACTTTGATAAACAATTTTGTTGTTGTTTGTTAAGTTATGTCAATGCAACACTTGGGCAATCTGCCTAGGGGGATGCCTTCCGGGAAGTCTTTTAAAGGGAAACTGGCCCCTATTTAGGTACTACAGACATGGAGAAAACCCAGAAAACTCCATGTGACCAGCCCATCCGAGCGAGGTGCAAACCCACGACCAAACTCCCAGTGTTCAGGGTACGAAGATTGCTCAACCACTGGTGGGCTAAACAAATGAGTTGTATGTCTTTGCAAAGCTTAGAAATGAACTTTTTGTGTTTCTAAATTCTAACATAGCAGGTGTGAAGTGGCTCCAATATAGGTAAGTGTATTGTGAGACAGTGCTATTGGAAGAATAATGTAAACACTTGATTTTTCAAATAAGACTAGGATCTCTATTGTTTGTAATAAGCCTTTTGAGTAGACTGTTGGGAAAATGTGAGAACATAAACTTGCATTATCCCTAAAAACTGTGGCACTGTTCCACAAGTTTTATATTATTTACTCATTAAACAATTTTTATATTGTTTGACACATTAAATAATAAATGAAAGTAATTTGCTAGTGCCATTTACCATTACAGTCGACCCCCCTATAATTACGGTCCCTATAATTACGATTCCTATAAAACTACGAAAAAATATACGTATTTTGGAAATGTTGAGTCGGATTAGTGTAGAATCGATTAATTTTATGGAAGAAAACCTTTCAATCAGCCGTAGTCCGTAAACTTGACACGTGTCGGGCTGTGATTGGAACGACTTGTAAGAAATCGGATTCCTAATAAATTGGAACGTATCTATATCTTATAGGGGGGGTCGACTGTACTTTACACCATAAATAAATGAGCATCCTCTTTCAAGTTTCAAACTTAAAATTAAAAAATTAAGAATATTTATAATATATATTATAGAGTAATTTAGATCAGTGCATTTCTTTTTCATTTTAATTTTTACATAAATGACTAAAGATCTTTATTTCCTATCTATCAGACACAATGAAGTCAATGGCTGTGTTCAGTAGACTCAACAGCAGCACTGTTTCAGAACATGTTTGGTGTTTTGTGATCACATTTATGCTACCTATTGCTTTCATCTTTCATTTACACTACCTATTGCTAGCTGCAACTTCATGTTCCAATGCATACATCACTCATTGCTCAGTAGACATAAGTGCTAACATCTACCAGTTAAAACACCTTTGCTCAGTTATAACTGTTGACTCTGCTAAACACAGCTAATCAGTGGTTAGGAATGAAACTCAACAAATGTAGAGTCAGAGCAAGTATATAAATTGCTACAGATATGATTTGGATCCAAAGCTGGGTCTGCCAGAGTATGATTTTGATACTTCAGCCATCTAAGGCCCTGTACACACTAGGCGTTTTTCAACGCGCGTTAAATGCACGTTTAACGCCGAGCTAACGCACGTTAGCTCGGCGTTCGACGAGCGTTAGTTCGGCGTTTAGCACTGGCTCAGTTTGGAAATGGATGAGAAAGTAATTGATTGTGTGTGCTCCTCCATCGTCGCTATAAGGCATATATCTCAAAGCGCCCGTAAAGTGCCCGCAAAACGCGCGTTTTAACAAAAATCTATAAACGCACGTCAAACGCGCGCTTGGCGTTTGAGTGTGTACGGCTACATAGAACTCTTGGTTCTTTAAAACGCGCGTTTAACGTGCATTGAAAAACGCCTAGTGTGTACAGGGCCTAACTCAGCACATTCCTTAATACATGTGTAAAACAATACAATAGGGTCTTTTTTACATGGGATTGATATAAACGGCTAGAAATAAGTGAGGAAGGTTTTGTATTGATCATCTTAAAATAGTTCAAGCTACAAATTTATAGAAGTCACCAACTAATACCAGTGAATGTGACTCAGGTCACCTCCAGTTTCTGACAGAACTACCAAATGCTATTGACTGTGATGAATACTTGAGAAAAATACATGCAAACCAGAGACACGTACTCAATACAGCATAATAAAAATTTGATCTATATTATTCAAATACAACATTGGACTAAAATGCTATTCATTATAGTACAACATTTTAACATTTTTTTTTTTTTGTTTATTGTAAATGGTGGCACACGTCTGAACAATTGTCTGGGACTACTTTGGACAGAGCACAAATTTACACAATTTCGGGTATTCTTGATGTATGCAGTCTACCATGCTGTATAGTGTCTACTAATGACTGTCGATGTATACAGAGTTTTTTACACAAGTTTCACTTTTCAATTAATTTTTTGGGTTTTATTTTTTATAAAGAAATAATAATGAAAAAAATTGAGTTGAGTTGAGAAAAAATGAAATTAAAAAATAATAATTACAAAAAATTAAAAAGTAATCTTCAAAATAAATCTTAGAAAAACTTTTAATAAAATATAAAATTCATCTGGATACGAGTCCAAGTTTACTTGCCATGTCTAATCACCAGGAAAACTACTTACCATGTCTAATCACCAGGAAAACCACTTAGAAAAACTATTATCACAGCCCTTGGGGATCTGATTACCAATGGAGATTAACTTTGATTAGTTAGTATAATCTTGAACTTTGATAACCAATATTAGCTAGAGTGACCATATAGTTTATCACCCAAACTGTAGTAGTTATTCAGTGAGTGAAAATGGTTAAACTTAAGATTTTTTAAAAAGTTATTTATACACCAACCTATAAACTCATATTGTGTTATAAGACCTTTAAAATGGTCCAATTTAAGATTTTATTCATTTCTGAGGATTAGAAACAGGAGAAATTCAGGACTGTTCCAGACAAACCAGGGTGACCACTCTACTGACTACTCTGTTGACAAAACTAGTTTCTGGATTATGCAGACAATATACAATATACAATACTGTAATACAATTTTCAAAACTGTTGATCATTTATGTTAAGCAATTGTGCATAATAATTAAAATGAGAATTTGTTGAACATATTGTATCACAGTGTTTCTTTCACTTTTACACTGAACACATTAATCTAACAAATGGTTACTTTTCTTCAAATAAATCCCTTAAAATCAAGTGATAAAAAAGTGCTTATTTATTTCCAATGTAATGTATCAGTAAACACCTGTAAAACTATTTCCATTATTTTTTATTACACATTAATATACAAGACTATATACTCCTAGTAAGTCTTAATTGATACAAGAAAACCTGATGAATTAAGACAAACATTGGTAAAAGTCCATCCTTACTATATGGGGCATTTTTTTATAATTTTGCTCTCTTAAGACACCTCTCTAATAGATATGTCCTAAAGACATAGAAATTTTTGGGGGTGACGCATATAATAAGATCTGTAAGTGAAAACTCATCGAATTACTTACCGACCCTGCACGGTGGAAGCCGCCATTGCTTAACCTTGTTCACATCGCTGAGTAGCACATTGAATGGCAAACGCTTACAATTTGTATCATGTGACCCGATTTTGATGTCACTCAATCACATACTAGTTATAGTTACTAGTGTGTTTAAGAACTACCATGAATCAATAACTAGTGACGTTAAACAATCAATGGTCTGCCGGCGGCTCCTCTCCAGGAGGAGTCTGTCGGGAGCCCGAATAGTCATGACTGCCACCATGACAGTGCACAAAACATAAATTGGTAAAATTTTACCAATTATTGTTATTAACTCATTTAATATGATCAGTAACATAATAATAAGTCATTTCTAATTACAAAATACACAGTATAGTATATTATGATATATCACATGACTGGACAGCATCAAGAAACATCATGTGACACTCTTTGTATGCATCCGCCATACAATGCTCCACGACAAAAACAAGCTTAAGCAATGGCGGCTTTCACCATGCAGAGTTAGTAAGTAATACAATAAATTTTCACTTATAGTTCTTATTATATGTGTCACCCCCAAAAATTTCTGTGTTTAGGACATATCTATTAGAGAGGTGTCTTGAGAGAGCAAAATTAGAAAAAAAATGCCCCATGTAGTAAGGATGGACTTTTACCAAACATCAAATAATAATTTGTAAGAAGGAAACTTTTATTGAAAACAAATGTTTTAGGTAGTTTATATTATTCTTACCATGTTTCATCATTACTTGCAAGAACTTCACTATAACTTTAGAACATGGTCTGATTAGAACTTGACGTTTACCTCTTTTCTCTGCATTATTGATAGATCTGAGAGCATCTGCTAATACATTCATACGAACCATATCTAGAAAATAAATTTATTTTCTTTCTTAGATGCAGTTAAAGCATACAAAAAAAAATTAATTATTTAAAAAATAAAACAACTAGGTTCTACTTAAGAAATATATTAATATTAATGTATATGTTTATAATTAAACAAAAATTCTTAATAATTTCAAAGAAATGTTATCTTTTCACCTTTTTAATAAATTTAATATAATTGTAATAATTTATTACATTTATTTGCCTACCACTATCTGTGGTAAGTTTCCAACTGTTGGTCAATGGCTTAATGCAATATGGCAATGTAACATACAAGAATCGGTTAAGGGAAAGTGCCTTAGCAGATTGGACTATGGAAAAACAGGTCCATATGAAGAAAACCTAGAAAATTTCAGGTAACCAGTCCATTGGTAAGGTACAAACTCAAGACCAGTGTTTAATGGTTTCATCAATAAATGTCACTGTAGGAAATGTTGTCTACAAACCACCAAGGAGTCTATAGATCCATATAAAGTAAAATCACATACTTGTTTATAATCTTTGAATATGTATATATATATTTTAATATAACACATATTACATTAAGAATATAAATAATAAGAATAAAATAAAAAATATATATAATAGAAAACATTTATATGACTATATTCATTTATAACTTGAAAAATTAAGAAAATGATCATCAAGTACATTCAATGATATATTAAGCCAAAAAAAAAAAAAATTTGAGGACAAAGACCCTCTTGCAATTCATGCAACATTTTTTCACACATTGAAATCTCAAAATGGCCCTGTTTTCTTCTTAAAATTTGTATTATTTTATATTGCTATTCCTGTTCTAAATCAAAATCGCTCAAAAATCATAGTAACAAATTTATTTTTTATCACTAAATTTTATCACTACCATTTTTATCACAAGTTTACCATGTAAAATTCCATTGTTACCCTAAAGTACTTACAATTTTACATACAAATAATTAATATGATTTAATTAATAAAACTGTGGGTATGTGTTTTATTTAATTCGTTTATGTATATTTATCATTGTTCTCAATAAAGATTATTGTTAACATAATGGTCCATAAATAGAGGGTTGGGAACTACTAATCTATAGGCATTCCTTATATTCGGTTTATACATGTAAGAAACGAACAAAAATGGATCATATGCAAGTAAAAATACTCTTAAATGTCAATAACTCTAAAATCGTCTTCACAGTAATAAACAGTTTACATATTCAGAAAGAAATCTCTTGTAACGAACAACAGGAACACGTTTATCCCAGGCACATTCTTTTCATACTACACATAAACGCATTTATTTATAATAAATCCATGATATAATGACTAAAACATAATAAAAATATATACCTATAAAATTTAATTAAAGCTTCGTCGTTTTAAGGCTAAACCAAATACGATGCAAACCGATTGTAAATTCCAAATTTTCCAGCTTAAGGCATCAAGCACAATTATGGCGGAAGAAGAAACTGACGTCACCGAACTGTTAGTGTTGCCAACTACTTTACTAAATGTTTAAACTTTCTTAAATATTATTATTGTCGTTTAATATCTTAAATTTCGATATATAAAATTAATGTAAATGATAATATTATTTATTATTTTAAAAGTTTATAAAAGAACAGTTTATTATAATTTTTTTTGTTTGATTTTCTTTAAATAACTGATATTGTTGGTTAATTAAGTTACGGCAACGCGACACTTCGCCGATCTGTCTAGGGCTAAGGACTTGATCTAGGGCCAAGGACTTGATCTAGGGCAGTGTTTCTCAACGGGTGCGATATCGCCCCCATGTGGGCGGTTTTACATGTTGATGGGGCGATTGGTAACAATTTATATTTTGTGGGCGAAAAATTAAATTTTCCGTACAATATAATAAGTGGCAGAAATATTCATTACGATACTTCGTAGAATTAGAGTTTTGGTAGCTCAGAGACCAGTATAGCTATCGACTCTGGTAATACTAGCCAACCTTGCTATTTTTTTCGCTACTCTGTATATCCGGCCTACTCATCACCACCAGGCCGCCCCATTGTGGGTCTAGCCAAACCCATAATGGGTTTGCTAAAAAGGTCTTCTTAGTGCCAACAACGCAGAAGAGTAAAAACAAAATACAGTGATACAAAGAAACAAACACGGTCGAATTAAGACTAACATATATCTAACATATACAGATTGTGATGAAACTTCGTGCCAATATTTTAGAGATAGACTTTAAAGCCAAAATACCTCTGTAAATTAATGTTTTTTTTTTTACCTAACAAAAATTAAAATCTTGAATGAAAGAAACATTTCATTTGTTCAAAAAAATCCAGCAACAAGTTACGTTATTTTTCCGACCGTTATGAGATTTTGTTAAAAATATAACTTTTGTATTATTACAAGAGGATTAACTTTAAGGGTTGAGACGAGTTTTTAAAAATATTGTAAATGCCTTCAGGTGGCAGCCTACCACTTTGTGGAACCCGGGTTCGAATCCAAACGGGTCGAAAAATCCCCAGGAATTTTTCGAGGGTGGTCCGTTCGGATGTGTCGCGCCCCGTTCCTCACCACCCGGCAGCCCCATTGTGGGCCTGGCCGAACCCATAATGAGCTTGCAAAAAGAGGCCCTCTTTTTGCAAAAAGAGTTTAAAAAAAAAGTATTGCAAATGCCAATAACAAGTAAAATTTTCACATCCGAGATATGAAACGTGACTCTCTCTGTCTTTTCACCCCTCCACCTCTAACCACCAAAATTTAAATATGACACGTTTGCAATATTATATAACTATAGCCGGAAATGTAACACGTATTATAACAGCCAGGAAAGTAACAGGAAAGTAAAAATTTGAGATGATTATAATATTTTCCCGTGTTATGTTATAACAGCCGGGAAAGTAAAATATAGCAAAAGGAACGCGCTAAACTGCTAGAAGGCCCACTAAAGAGCTAAAGAGGCCCACACTTCTCCCGAGCTCCGTATAAGCTGTCGACAGTCCTGATAGTGAAAAAGTGAACAGTTATTTTTCCAGCTGTACAAGGGAAAATATTGGAATATTGATATCGTGGCAAATTTGACACGTTTTGAGAGTTCCTGAACCAGCGGCTTCCGAAGACTATACAAAAGGGGGGACTACAAACTATAAAAAAGGCATCATACATGCAAGAAACTTCAAACTATGACTAAATGTTAGATCAAGGTGATAAGAAGATATGTTCCTCGTCTTTAAGGCCAAGTTTTGGTCAACATACGAAGAAGTTGTATGAGACAATGGACGGATATTGTTCATTAGTTTGTTTTATATTTGCAGAATAGACTAGAAGTCATGAATTTTCTGTTGTTTGTTGATAATGGAATTCGGGATATCCTCGGGATCAGTAAAAGAGCAACACAGACGAAGAATGAGGCAAGTGCCCCAAGTCCTCCAATGTATGGCACTCCTGCTCTGAATCCAAAATTCAAATCAGAGAAAAAAATTCCGTGGATGTGTGTGCGTGTATGTGTGTTCGTTTAATATCTCAGAATGAATAACGATTAAGAAATGAAATTTGGCACGATATAAGGGGCATTGACGTCATTAAGTTTTAATGAATAAATGCGGATAGGTGGAGAGATAGAAAAAGGTTGTGTCATATCTGGAGTGGGATCAGACTTAATGAAAATCTTAATCGTTATTGGCGTATACAATTTTTAAAAACTTATCCCTATCCTGAAAATTATGCCTTTTGCTTTTTATAATAATTAATACTATAAAAGTTATTATAAAAGAAAACAAAAATAAAAAATAAGTTAAATATTTAAATTTCCAACAAAAAAAGAGAGAGAATTATGAAAAAGGAACTTAATCTATATATATAAATGAGGATGTTTGTTTGTTTGTATGTTTGTTTGTTAGCTACACACGTCTATATATAGACATAGCAATTAATTATTATTTACATTTGACATCTATTGACAAAGTAGTCTTAAATAGTGCTAGTCTAAAATAAATCAGATATTGTAATTCCAGAAAAAAAAGGAAAATGAATATAAAAGTTATTATTATGTAAAATCGTATAACAGAATGGCGCCACACGCAATTTTAACTTTGTGCTAGTGTATCTTATTGTTTCTTAAATATTTTTTGCCAGAAAAGTTATGCAACTCGTTGCTGAATTCTTTAATAAAGTACAAATTAGCTGAAAAATTAGTTAACTTAGTTTTGTGTGCCCTTCCATAAATATGAATCATACATCGAATTTATTAGCGTTATAATTTGTATATTATAAACAAGAAAGATTTCATTAAAAAAAATTCAAGTATTTGAATGAGATAAAATTTTAATTTTTACAATAGTTAATTGATTTTTCGACCACTCTGTATATGCCTTATAGATATATGTATATATGGCCCCTGAAATTGAGGCTGTAAGGCGTCAGTCTGCTGCTCTTGGGTACCCGAGATCAAATCCGTGCGAGCAATTCCAGGAATTTTTGTTGCAATATTATATAACTACAGCAGCAAATGGGCGGTCTATAGCGAATATATGACGCCCATCTCTTACTGCATCTTATTTTCAAAAATAAAAAATAAATTGTATGTGTATATATAATATGTAACTTTATATTTTACAGGGTTATTATTATTATTATTTTAATTATTAACTTATACTAGTGACTGCTTTAAATTCCAATAAATATAAAAATAAATGCTTAAATTATATTTTAGTTTCATGCAATTTTATTATTAAAACATTCAAGATATTCAAGACCCGCCAGTGTCCGAGTGTATGAAACCATTGAACGTGAGTCACGGGTTTGTGCCTTACCAATAGAATAGCCACGTGGAGTTTTCCGGGATTTCTTACGTGTGTAAATCTAAATAAGGCTAGTTTCTCCATAGCCTTCTGTTGGCAGATTGCCCATGTGTTACGTTGTCTTATTTCATCAATTCAATTCAATTCTTAAAAATAATTAGCAGTAGTTTTGGTATAGATTGATTTAAATAATCTCTATTTTTAAAATTCTAAATTAATTCTTAATTGATTAAAATTTTCACAAATTGAATAAAAATATTTTTTTAATTTATTAAATTAATTTCTCTATTGAAGATCTATGAAGCGAATCCTTCATTAAATTTTAAACGTTTTCCTGAAATAAAAAATATATAATTTAACTTTATATTAAGAATATTATAAATCTGTACATTCGAATATACTCACTTGAAGTTCTTTTTCTTCTTTAATATCATCTAAATCATTAACTGATGTAACATTAGTCAAATTATTATCAACTTGTTTCTGATGCATCATAAATACACTATCTCTGAAGGTTGGGTTCGAATCTTGTGGTATTTCAGAAGAAGAGAATCGCCAGTAGGATGGATCTTGAAGGGAAGTGTTGCCCGATAATTTCGTTGCTGAATTTCTAGAATCATTCTATAAAAATATTTCATCTATAACTTAATCTTTATCCAGTTCTAACAAATATTCTATTGCTTTTTTAAAACTTTTCTCGCTTTGAAGGCACTACGAGATTTTTTTCAAGCCAACGGCAGTAATGGGAGTTGTTTACTAAACAGGGATATATCCAGGTCGAATTGCTTTTTTTTTAAAAATTCTTTCCGTCCTATGGACACCAAGAAGGCCTTTTTAACAAGACCATTATAAGTTCGGCAGGCCCACAATTGTGGTGCCGGGTGGTGAGGGACGGGGCCCGACATATCCAGACAGACGGTTGGATCACCTATGAAAATTTATGATGATCCGACCCGAACTCGAACCTTGGACTCTTAGAGTAGTAAGATTATATGCGTTACTTACGTCTGTAGTACCAAAATTTACACCATTTTCTTCTAAAAGTGAAGTAAATGATGTTTACAATTTGTGATAAAAATTTCCTTTTGAAATTTTACAAAAACTTACTTTTTCCGGATCAATTTCGGGTATTTTTGAAACACTAAAACAAATAAAAAATTATAACTTTTAATAATAATTGTGTGAAAAATCACTCCAAAAATAGTGTAAACTTACGTCGTTCGTTTTACACAAGCACTCCCCATTTTAACAATAAATTTAATACAAATAATTACTTTATTATTACAAAAATATTTCTTTATTATATAATAAAAAACCAATAATTCTCGCAGCAATTTTTACTATTTTTACTTTAAAAGATATATAAATGTAAAATGATGCCGAGAAGTTCGCTAACCTTTATCGAAACCAGAAAAAATGCATCATGTCTATATACTAGTTTATTATTATATACATTATATCATCATCCGTGTTATAAACTGACTTTACAAAGAACCCCGAAGGTAGAAACAGATGTCGAAAAGACATAGTTAAAAGAAAAACAAATAAAAAAGATATAAATATGTGCAAAAATTTACCTTAAACTATTTCTAAATGTGTCAGGTTAATTATTTTTTTGAATTGACTTGAATTTATTAACTCCTGTAAGGGTTAGAATACCTAGAACGAGGGAAAATACATTACTTAAACTTCTATTTAACGTATTAAAAA